AAATATGTAACATAAACGTGTTTTGAATTTAAGTTTCTGAATTTTGGTATAAAAAAAATTATATGTTAATGTATGATTAATTTTTTTGTTTAACTCCCTACATATTATAACTATAACTATATTTAAAACAATAACTATTTAACCCTATAACTATTTTTAAAGCAATTCATTATTATGATATGAAACCGTTGTATTATAAAATAGATAATTGTTGTAATGTATAATTTTTTTTTATAAAAAAATGTTATTAAATCTCTCTCTATATATATACCTTAAATTCAGGATAAAAATTTAAGAATAGAAAGATGTTCGACAGAAATTCAAATGCTTTGAGCATGGGATACCATGCTATATAATCTCTTTCCTGTCTCAAATAAGAAGCGAGTTCTCAAAATACGGAGAATTCAAGTTCTTTCTGTATATTACGATATTTTTGTGAATTTAAATATTGTGCAATTTTTCGCCAGTTCACAATATCATAATTGACGCGATAGTATCCTATTATAAAATAAATTACTTTTGTCGGTTATTAAATACTTTGAAGTGATACATACTATATTGATTAAACATATTTTGTGATGTTAAAATTATTACGAAATTAAATATATTAGAATTAAATATATTAGAGATGTTTGCATCTTCCGTTTTTATTATTTAACATGAAGGCTGTATCAGCAATTCTACATATTACAGCAAGAAATGAAAATTTCAAATATATTGTTAAAATTTCAATATTTTTTGTAATATTTTTTGTTATCTTATATTATGTATGAGTTTTAAAATATCTTATAATTATTTTTTATTGAAATTGATATCATATATGATATATATGATATATTACACACACACACACACACACACACACACACACACACACACACACACACACACACACACACACACACACACACACACACACACACACACACACGCACGCACACACACACGCACACACACACACACACACACACGCACGCACGCACGCACGCACGCACACGCACACGCGCGCACACGCACACGCGCACACACAGACACACACACACACACACACACACACACACACACACATGTATACATATACATATATACAGGGTGATTCATATAAAGTGACCGATGTGAATATTAGCTAAAATTGAAGAACTACGAAAAAATTTGTATATGAAGAGATATTTGACGCAGAGGGGAACATTGTATGGTACAAATTATATTTTTATGGATAAAGGCATTAAGGAGATTTCAAGATCATCTTAATTTTTTTTAATGGAACACCTTATTTTTACGTATTCTTACGTTCTTATTATATCTTTCTTATTATATCTTATATCTTTCTTAGAAAAGTCTCGAGAGCTTTCCAAAACACTATAATAAAGTATTTCTTGATTGAGTACTTTTTGAGTTATAAGGTTATATATATATTATATATATATATATATATATATATATATATATGTATATATATATATATATAATGATAATTGTATAAATATATGTATTTATATATTGAAACATATATACTTGAAATTATATACAATATAATTGTAAATTTACTATTATATTGCAGATAATATAAATTTAATATTCAATATGGAAATTTAGATGTAAATTTATTTTTTAATATTTACCAGCTTGTTGTAAATTGAAAATAATCCATTGATTTTTCTCAAGATGAAGTTCAGTTTTTGAAAACCATGGTGTTAACACCATAGTGTTAACGAAATATTTATCCAAGTTATGATAATAATTAGGATTTGACTCCGTAGCATAACTAATAGAAATATAATATTGTTCCTTATCTAATTTGTTGCGAAATTGTACCGATAGGCTTACAACATTAGTAGAATAATTTCGCTTCACTTTCAACACGGAAGGATACCTCTGCATAATCCATAAATTTTTCGCATCTTTTATATTAAAATACTTAATTATAATTAATTCACTCATCTTAGATCTCAAAGCGTTCCATAAATGATCGGCAGTTGCAGCTTCAGGGTCAATAAGTCTATAAGATTTAACAACATCATAATTTTAACATTATACTAAAATTAATAAATGAATAATAAGAAAAAAATCATAATTTACAAAATTTATTATCGTATTTTAATCTATAATGTAACTTCTACAGACATAGAAATTTATGAACTTTAATATTATTGTATATGCAGGGTGTTCTAAAAAGGTGTGTCAAAATATTAAGGAGATATTCCTCACACCTGAAGGATGAAGAAATGTTATGGTCATAGGTGCGGAAATGCTTATTTCAGGAGTTATGTTGAAAATACTGTTAGCTGTATTACTTACTTATGGAAAAATTTAGGATTAATTATTATAAACGACAATCGTTTAAATAGGCTTATTTACATTTGGTTTTAATGCGACCTTCAGTATGTTACAATAAATGTTGAAAATGTTCCCCATTTTCCTGAATACAAGCAATGACATATCGATGCATCGATTCATGGACACATTCAAAAATGCCACCAGTACATGATATTCAATATCTTCGTGACTGTATCATAGCAGGTTGCGAGACAATCCGCTGTACGCCAGGTGTGAAGAATATCTCCTTAAATTTTTGACATATCCTTTTAGAATACCCTGTATATGTATACAGAGTGTTTCAGACCACCCGTACCACCCATTTGAAAACTAAAGAAGTGGTTATTTCGAAAAAGTAAAAACATTTTCTTTATAAATTGGGTGCGCTCTATCGAGTGGTGATATTTTCAACTTCTGGTTCCGATTGGAAATAGGCGATTTAGACCGGAAGTGCATTTTTTTAAATGGAACATAGTATTTGTTATTGCAGATTTGGATACTATACGAAAAAAATATGAAACGTTTGTACCAAATATTTTTTTAAAAAATGTCATTTATGTCCTTCAAACAACCTTCAAAATGTGTGTTGGCGAAAATAGCGTTTTTGCATTATTCCGGCCGGAATCAGAAGTTGAAAATATCACCATTCGATAGAGCGCACCCAATTTATAAAGAAAATGTTTTTACTTTTTTGAAATAATCACTTCTCTAGTTTTTAAATGGCTGGTCTGAAACACCATGTATATATATATATATATATATATATATATATATATATATATACTGGAGTTATCTCAGGAAATAAGAAGTTAACGCTTCTCAGTTAAATAGTTCCGAATTTATTTTAATCTATAGTTTTGAATGTCTTGTATACTGTGTAAGATTTCATGTGGACTGTGTGAAGGCGCGATGTGAACTATCAATAGGCGCGAGATAGATTCTCTTCAGGCTCGATATTAATTCTACGAACGCGGGATGCAGAGTGAATCCTGGAAAATCAGGATTCAGCATGCATGATCCGAGAGAAAGTTTTTATGATCGGAAAGATTCTCCGAGGGATCGTTGTGTAGGAAAAGCCGTGTATTTTTTTTTGCCATATGTTAATTGGCGACGTAAGGGATCGATGGAAGGCTGCGTGACATGCAAGGGTTGTAAATTTTACAGAAGTGAAGGCGGATGTTGCATGCATGCAGAGATTAGAATTTATATAATGTGTGTGTGTGTGTGTGTGTGTGTGTGTGTGTGTGTGTGTGTGTGTGTAACAAGGGTGGAGTAGGAGACAATCATCCCTACATATATATATATATATATATATATATATATATATATGTAGGGATGATTGTCTCCTACTCCACCCTTGTTACACACACACACACACACACATATTTTTTATTAATATATATTAATATATATAAATATATATTAATATATATTAATAAAAAAAGTAGAGACAATCATCCCTACATATATATATATATATATATATATATATATATATATATGTAGGGATGATTGTCTCTACTTTTTTTATTAATATATATTAATATATATTTATTAGTAATTATGTCAAAATTTGTTGTGACTGAATAAATAATAATTTTAATTTTTATATTATAAAGATTTTAAAGTGTTTACATTCTATGTTTGTAAAACATCTCTACATTCTCCAAATCATTCAATTTAAATTAATTATTATTTAGAAATTATGAATATTTATTATATATATATATATATATATATATATATATATATATACATATTAAAAAAAAAGTTAAAATTCCATTTTAGCAAAAATTCATAATTATAAAATAGCAGTATAAATTTAAGTTTTTAAATATCTATGTTTTTTAAACATTAAAAAACTGGAAATATATTATTAAATTTATTATATATTTTGATTCTTTTTCCTTTCCCTCTATGATGTATATTGTTACATTATAATACATTATACTTACTGATTATCTAAATGTTTGATGAATTCCGTTGAAAATAGATCAAGTGGTAATGTTCGTATTAACATGCGCCACAGAATGGATCCTATAATGTTTGAAAGAAAAAGAATTTAGTATATTTAAAATGTCTTTACTAATGCACAATAAAGGTTTGTGAATATATATGTAATTAATAAAATTAAATAATAATATAATAATACTCTTTATTCCCTTGCGGGGTACAGATGCGGACCTCCGCTCCGCTCACATCTTTTCTTATCTAATCTTACATCTACAGCCTTAATCTACGTTCGAGAGAGAAAGAGACGCACTCCATTCATTTCATCCACTCTCTTCTCATTCATTCATCCGGACCTCCATTTCCGCTGCATTTTCTTTTCTCACTCTCAATCACTCCATCCTCCTCCATACTCCCTTTCCTCCCACCCTTTTCCATCCCTTCCCTCATTTTTTCCAAATCTTTCATCCACCTTTCCCCCTCACCTTCCTCCCCCAGCACCTCATACACCATCTCTTGCCAGCCTCTTTCTATTCCCCAGTCTATGCACTCCTCCCATATATGATCCCAAGTCTCCTCCCCCCCTTTACAAGCCCTGCACTTCCTTCTTTCCTCCTTTTCCCAATATTTACCTTCCCTCATATCATCCCCTAATCTGAACCTTGCTACTCTTTGCCATCTTTCCTCTGACCATCCCTTCCTCAAATATTCCGGAACCCCCTTCCCCTTTACCTTACCATACCATTTATTGAATTCCGATTTCCTTATTTTTTCCCATCTTTCCTCTTCCTGCCACCTTATCTCCCTCACCACCAAATCCTCCCCTCTCAACTCCCCTTTCTCCCTTAAACTCTCCACCTCCCTCAGCTTCCATCCCTTTTCTGCAAAAAATTCTCTCCTTTCCTCTTCCCACTCTCCCATCACTTTCTCATCCTTTGCTCTCTTCTTTACTTCTCCCCAACATAACCTGGCTAATTCTCCCCCTCCTCCTTCCTCCAATTTCCTTTCATATCCCCACGCTCTCAAATCTGCTGTCCCTCTTAACTTATCCCTCTGCAACTCTTCCCTTACCATATATCCCGGCGTATACCTCCTCACTCCAACTACCCACTTCATGTATCTGTCCTGAACCCTCTCTATTTCTACCCTTTCCTTCCACCCCCATATCTCTACCCCATATCCCATAACCGCCCATACTAACTTATCGAACAATCACATTCTTCTTGCCCAATCCTTTCCAAACCTCCTTTTTCCTATCCCCCATACCTCTCTCATCACCATCACCCCTCTTCTCACTCTCTCTTTTATCTGTTCTTCCTGTCTCCCATTTGCTGTCAACGTGTACCCCAAATATCTAAACTTCTTAACCTTCTCTACTTCCCTCCCCTTCCACTTCCAAACCACTTTCTTCCACCTCCCTCCGCCCCTCCTGCATCTCATCACCTTCATCTTTTCTACATTTACCTCCAACTAACCTAACCTAACCTAACCTCCAATCCCTTCCTCTCCACATAGCTTTCTAGCACCCTTATCATTCCCTTCATCCCTCCCTCACTTTCCGCTACCACTGCCACATCATCCGCGTATGCGAGAGAAAAAATTTTCCTTCCTCCTACTTTCACCCCTCCCCAGCCCTAATAAAATTAAATATATTATTCTCAAAGTTTGTGTAATTAAATCTAAGTAAGTAGCTATAAAATATAGATAAATAGATAATTTTTATAAGAAAGATAGATAATTTTTATACAATGAAAAAATTTGTAATAATAGATAAATAGTGAATGATTAAAAATTTATTAAAAATAATAAATTAAACAATAAGGAATCAGTTAATTTTATATTTCATCATGATTTTTTGAAATTTTAGATAAACATGTATAGTTATAATTTCAAAAAAAATTACAAATTATAAAATTATCCAAAAATTATATAAAAATTTAATTTTAAAGTTAGATATTATTACATTATAGCAAATATTTAAAAAAATATATTAAATTTTACAAATGATAGGCCTTGCACGGTTCTTTTATGGAAATTGAAATTCGAAGAAATTTGAATTTTGTTTAAATTTGCTGAATTTTGGAAATAAATAGTTTATGTGAAAACACAATAAAAATTTAAAAAATGTCAAAATAAATGTGATAAGTTTGATGAAGTGGTTTCGTCGCTACAAATATTCAAATATCGAAATAAAGCGTTATTTCAATACTATTAAAGAAAAGTAAATAATATGTGAAGTAAAGTAAATAATATATTAGAATGTCATACACAGTTGATCATTTTTATTAATACATTTTACTAATATATTTACATGGAAGAATGTGTGTGTAGCAGTATCGCCGCTGTCGTCGCCATAACATGCTATTTGATATTTGATAAAATATAATTAGTTGAAAGTATAATTATTATATAAGTTTTACCTAAGTCTTCCCCTTCGGATAGAACAAGGATACAACTTCCTTATTTGCTTTAAAATACTAGCCTCTTAAAATAATTAAACTCTTGTGTTTCATGATTTTTCGTAATTTTTTAATCGTTTCTGAAATATAGTAGATGGGAAATTTATGGATACCCTATATATACATTTATGTACATATTATCCACGTAAATAATATCTATGTATTAATAAAAGTTTTCAACTGTGTGTGATTCTATTCAATAATACATTACTTATTTTCCTTCAGTAGTAATGAAATAACACCTTATTTCGATATTCGAACGCTTGTAGCGACGAAATGGCTTTATTAAACGATATCGCAGTTAACGTAACTTTTGATTTGCTACAAATTATTTATTTCCAAAGTTTTTGCAAATTTCATCAAACTTCAAAATTTAATTTCCATCAGACTCGAACAGGGTTTTTTGTTTATAAATGATTTTTCCCATTTTATATGAAATTAACATTCAGGAATTTATAATTATTTAATTGTTTAATTATGCAATGTTATACGCATACCTTTGATATGAGAAATAGAAGAGTGAAAATAATTTTCATGATAACTATAATATTTTATAGTAGAATTTATAACAACATCAGTATTTAGATAGAGTAATTCATGTTGAACTTGTACTACAAACAGATCCATCATCCGGGAATTTGGCAGAGCCTAAAATCAATTCGATATAATCATAACTTATCATAAATAATCAAAAAGAAAAAGTTTTTAGTACACAAAATTAGCTTATTATATGCTATTGTTAAGAATAAAGTTTGTATGTGTGTTTGGGAGTGTAAATGTTTCTGTGATAATTTTCATACAAAACATATACATATTTAGTTCTTATTAAATTACTTTCACCATAATTCTAGAATTTCTAGAAATTTTAGAGACTTGGATTCTTATCATTTCTTATAATTAAGAAATAAAACAGAATATTTGTAAAAATATTTAACAATTATCTACATTACTAAACTGTTGATTATTTGACTGCGTATTCAAATAGTTATAAACCTAGTAATAAAATAACCTTGTCGATAATGTATGCTTGATAAAATATATTAAATCCTTCGTTTAACCATGTATGAGGCCATAAATAAGTTGGTCTGAACAGATTTTTAATATATTTTTGTACTATCCCACGTGCAATTAAACGCATAATTATCGTTTCGTATGCGACAGAATCTAATTCTTCATTATAAGTGATATCTGCTTCTCTAAAAACAATTATAATAATATGCATGAAAAATTTTGGATATTAATATAATTTTTTATATAAATAGATTACAATATACTATGTAATTAAAATAGTTTTTAAAATATATCTAATAGTTTTTAAAATATATTTTTAACCATATATATATTACCGATAAAAAATGAAACCAAAAGTCTGTTCGATTTCATTTTGTAAATCCGGGATTACGACATGATCTACAATATTTTGCTCTCAAATAAAACAGAGGTTAACCCCGCAAGTTGTCTCCTCCAAATATTCCATCTATGTATGTATACATTGGTGGAAGAAATAACAGTTTTCGCAAATTCTAAATACGGTTCCGATTGTGGTCTAAACCATATCGATAAACGAATTGTTTCATTTTTCAAGAGAATGCTCTGATGAAAACTGGAAACCAGATATGCTACACTATCTATGGAGATCGAAGAAGTCTCGTTAAAATATGTCCATATCATTTTATCGTTCGTCAATTCAGTATCTTGTATCGGCATATTTGACAAAGCTTTGTATCTTGGATGATGCATTATAGAAATATTAAAAGTAATTTTTAATTCTGGCTTGTCCCAATGTGGAAATATTTGCCTTTTGTCCCAATGTGGAAATATTTGTCTTTTCGCTGAGATACCTGTTGCGATTAACCACCTGCCGTATTTTAATGATAAACATTAAATAATGAATAATATTAGATAACTGTAAGCGTAGAATACACAAATGTACAAAATTTGTTTTTGATATTTCATATATTCTTCTACTTACTCTATATCTTCATTATCGTTTATGTACGAAATTCCGAAAGATTCCCTTACGATATTAATTGAGATTTCATACTCTATATACAGATCATACATTCCAAGCAACAAGACATCACCGAAATCGAGCAGGACAATATTGTTTTTAAGCAAATTTATTGAGTTTGTTTCATAAACCATATTATTATTCTTCTTTAATGTCGACACTATTAAACTCGCTGAATCCGGTGTATAAAAAGTTATGTTTTGTTTTGCATAAGAAATATCTAAAGTGATTATGCATTTGCTACGGAGATAATTATCGAGTAACATTAACTCTATGTTATAATGTATTGGAATTATATAATCTGATGTACTTCTTGATTTGATGTTTAATACACTACTGCGCATGATTTTCGTTTGTTCATCGATTCCTTTGATTTTTGATTCTTCGCCATTTATAGGACTCGCTATTGCCACTATGGCAAGGTATATTATATTATTACTTAATATTAGTTTTAAGAATGTCATCTTGAATTTCATTCGGATATCTATAAAAAATATTTCTTCATTAAAAACAAAAGTATTTACAAAGAGTATGCAATAAAACCGATTTTTGTATGAAAAAACGTTCGAGAGAATTTACTAAACACTTCATAAGAAAATATGATTAATTTAAAAAGAAATTAAAATAATACATTTTAATAAATAAAGGAATAATTGCAAATAATAAGTATAAAAATTATTAAAACGACGTATGAAATATTTTTCTCGGATTTGAATATTAGGAAATATGAAGGATGTATTTAGATCCCAGTAGGAGAAGCACAATAAACATATTTGTTATTTATCTCACTTTAGCCATTTTTAAATTTTCTCCTAGTGCAATTACATATTTCAATACATATATATATATATATATATATATATATATATAAAATAAGCTTTAAAATGTATGAGAAATAAAGGTATATTCTGAACAACGCGATTTAATACATGATATGGACTATATGTTTAATAACATGTTATTTTCAAGATCAATCTGTTCCTTGAATAAGAAATGTATGTATTAAAAACATACAAACACTGAACGCAAATGAAATTTCATCAAATATTTGAAATTTTGATAATGTAGCAAATTGAATCTAACATTCGAACAAAATTCTGAAAACAATTATGTTAATATTTTTATAACACAACTTTCTGAATAAAATGTTAACTTTTTATTATTTGTTGTTTATTCGTTCCTTACACATTCAAATATTCATAAAAAGAGATATTCATTATAAAAAATATTTTAAAGACAAAACACAGATAATACTATACGTTTTTAAGATAGATAATTTCATAGCTTAGATAATGATATAATATTTTATATAATTTAAATAATTTTATAGCAATATTATAAAATTAATTACACAATAATTTTATAATGTCAGAAAGAAATTTAGCTTATAAATTTTAAACTTTCCATATGTCAAAATGGTCGAAATCGATGTTATTATGGTACAAACGTAAATGTCTTTATTTCTATTAACTGTAATGTATGCAAAAGACAAAAATAATATTTACAATAAAATGAGTTAGTCGATTTGAAAATTTAAAAAAAAGAAGAAGAAAATTAAAGAAAAATAAAGAAAATGTCTTCTGTGAAATAAAAGAGTTACCTATTACTCCACACAATTTTGTATGCACATTTAAAGAAAGAAAGATAAATATTTTATTATATACTTAATACCTTATCCTACTAGTTAAATTAGCCTGGTTTCATATCAGATTTAGAGCACTAAAAGTATTCAATCGCGAACTGATCGCTTCAAGAGACTATCATGAACTGATGGCTCTGTCGGCGTACCTAACAATATATGGAAGGATATACCTAGTGTTATATAAATACCATCTTGATTATACGTAGCATAGCTTATCTTACATATCGACAGAAGTCAATAAATATAAATTTATTTTTGTTTTTTATTCCATTCTCGTAAATAAAGCTTTTATTTATAAAGACAATTTTTCTAAGAAATTATTTGCGAGAGAAAATTAATTGAAGAATTAATTGTACTTACACTTGCATATATTGGCCGATCTTTTTTAATTAATATCTCGAAATTTTACGTGGTGGTTTTCAAAATAATATAGGATTATTTAGTTCAGTTTAGCGATATTTACATATCCTCGAGGGTTTTACTTTGTTGCGAGATACACAACCTCGAGGGTTTTACTTTGTTGCGAGATACTGGAAACACCTTGTATATGTATCTTATGTATGTTTGTATCTGTGTAAAATAAACACATGTAAATATATAATCCATGGTAATTATTCGGAAAATGGTACACCTCATCGATTTTATTGCTCTTTGGATATGTTGTGGAGAAAATTATTCTGAGTAAATCTCTGCAAAAATCAAGTGGGGGACGACATTGGTTTAGGAGATATAACAAGTTAAAGTTTCAAAATTTTAATGCTTGTTGCCGCAATATCTCACCATTATACGACTCTATTTAAAAATGTAAACATGTTTAGTTTTGTGTGATATCGGTGTTATACATTTGCAAAATTCACTTCTATCATCCTCTGCTTTCGGTACTAAGCGAGGTCCACCTTTACCATCCCCTGCTTTCGGTACGAAGCGAGGTCTATAATTGTACTTTTCACGCGAAGCAAGGTTCACCCCTACAAGTACACGCCCAGACTGCACACCCCCCCCACCCCCCCCGTTGCAAACTCCATGCAAAGGAAGATTTCACATGGGTTCGCAACGGGGGGGTGGGAGGTGGGGGGGGGGGTGTGCAGTCTGGGCGTGTACTTTGTAACGCAAACATGTGCTTTTGAGAACGTAAACATGTTTACATTTTTGAATAGAGTCGTATAATGGTGAGATATTGCGGCAAGAAGCATTAAAATTTTGAAACTTCAACTTGTTATATCTCCTAAACCAATGTCGTCCCCCACTTGATTTTTGCAGAGATTTACTCAGAATAATTTTCTCCACAACATATCCAAAGAGCAATAAAATCGATGAGGTGTACCATTTTCCGAATAATTACCCAATATTTTTAATATTATATTGTGCAATTATAATATTATGTTGATTAAATAAAATTAAACAATTATTAATTCTTTTATTGACATTAGTGAATAATTAAGTATATACATTTATAAATATTATTACAATCATTTATGCTGTATTTTTAATTTCTACACAGTTAATGTCTTAAAGATTTAGTTATTCAATTGTTAAATAAAGATCGAAAATAATTTATCTGTTTTTCGATCTCCGACGAGCGTGTTTTTATCTTGTATTCAATATTGGGAATGACTGAATATTTCAACTTCTTTCTTACAAATTCTTTTATCTAAAATGGATTTTTTAAATAATTATTACCAATAAACGATTTCCTATATTCAATAATTGCACTGTCACAAATATAGAATGTCCTTATGAACAGAATTATAAAAAAATATTATATAAAATATAGAAATTTGATTTATTTAAAATTTACCTCGTCCAACTGTTCCATAGAATACGCATTGTTAATTATAACAATTAATGCCACAATCTCATTGACTCTTCTATCAAGAATAAAACAATATTATACCTAATTCGTACAATAAATATTTGTGTCTACGTGTAGTATACCTTTAGTAGATGATATCGTTACCTGTGTCTTATTATTATGTCATTATTTAATAAATTTGTAAGCATATACTTAGTATTCCTCTCAAGAATAGAAAGGAAAATATTAGCATTTAAGGCATAAGCTCGCTCTATCGATTCAAGTTGAAGATGAAATTGATTATACAAAGATTTTGAAATTTGTGAAATTATTACAGTATGTGTGATAATTTCTAAATAATGGATTAAAATTTCAGAATTTTTACTATAAATCAAACATTCAAACATTTTATCATTTCCTTTCATGTAATTATAAAAAACTATATCCCATGTATCACGATCTGCCGTTTTTAAGCCATTGCAATATGTCCACCTCTTCCATCCAGGCAAAAGTCTACAGGAGACAGTTCAATGAAGAAATAAAAATCTTTTAACGAAATTGTGTTAATAGTTTCTTTAGTGTTTTATGAATAATTTTTGAAATAAATGATAACTAATTTCTCAAACATATACAAAATGTAAAAAAATATTTCTATAAAAAGAATAAAATATTATGAAAAGAATTACTTGTTTTTTTTAAGATTTGCTAGATGCCATTTCAAATGATGCTTAGAGCTTTCTTCGCAAGAATGATCGTTCATAATACATTTCCACTTTGCGAGTTCTTGTTTTAAACATTTAGTACGATCGTTGATGTGACTTTGGTTCAACAGATTCCAGTTACTAATTCTATGTTTCTGCATAAAATCAAACTTTAGCACGCCCTAAAATTTAATAACTATCTTTATATTTAGTTTATTCATTATTTACAAGAACAGATATAATGTACGCGCATTCAAACGATTTACTAAATAATTTTCTTTCATATTTCTTTAATATTTATGTGACTTCGCATCAATATCATAATAAGTAGATTTACCAATTTCTTATTTGTGTGTGAATTTCTTATTTGTGTATATATTTTATCATCGCGTATGGTTTTATATCATTTAATGTATTTTTTACACATATATCGATATATAATGTGTTTCATAATATTGTCCTAACGTTCGTGTGTATTTATTTTACCATCGCGTATGGATTTTATATCTTTTAATTAATTTTTAACACACATATCGATATATGAAGTGTTTCATAAAATTGTGCTAATGTTCGTGAGTGGATAGAACGCAATAAACTGAACAGAAAGATCTTTTACCATTCTACAATTTTTTTAATAATTATGGAAATATTAATTATAACCGTGAATAAACGCGCGTTTCGCGAGATGGTATATCGTAGGATATGCGTGATAAATGTGCCAGCGCCGAATGTCGCATACCAATAAAAAAACAAGAGTCAAGGCACGCGCGATCAAGTTTTAGGAAACACTTTGTGTGTATATTTTAATCGGTGCATATGGATGTATCAATTGATGTATTGATTTTTACATATGATTTTTACTTTTTTAATTATTATTTTCTTAATTTAAATCTATGTATCAAATATAGATTTTAAGTATTTTATACTTTAAATATCAATTTCTTTTATAAAACAAGCATTTACAAGTGGATTATTATATCTTAAATTATTATGTGTTGTATAATGTAAAAAAATTATCCTAAAATTATATAAGTCAATTTCTCTGCAAAATGTTTGTATACTTTTAACATTGTAAACATTCGAATACTACGAAAGAAAATTAATATAAGAAAAATAATTGTGTTATATACTGTATTCTATAATTTCCTAAACCTAATTAAATATTAATTACACACAATTAATCAACAATTATCATGTAAATACTGACGTATTATTAATATAGAAAAATAACTTAATGAAATATTTAAAATTTATATGATTCTATTAAATATAAAAAAAAATATATAACAAATATGTAACGTAAACGTATTTTGAATTTAAATTTCTGAATTTTGGTATAAAATCTATTTTTAAACGAATTCATTATTATGATACGAAATCGTTGTATTATAAAATACATAATTGATGTAATGGATAAATTTTATAAAAAAATGTTATTAAATATATGTATATATATATATATACCATACATATATTTTATATATATATATATATATATATATATATATATATATATATTTGTATACCTTAAATTCAGGATAAAAATTTAAGAATGGAAAGATGTTCGACAGAAATTCAAATGCTTTGAGCATAGGATACCATGCTATATAATCTGTTTCCTGTGCCAAATAAGAAGCGAGTTCCCAAAATATGGAGAATTTAAGTTTCTTCTCTATCGCAAAATGAAATGCATCATTGATGATTTGCGCTCGATTGAGAACATGTATATTACTATATTTTTCAGAATTTAAGTATTGTGCAATTTTTCCCCAGTTTATAATATCATAATTGACGCGATAATATCCTGTTATAAAATAAATTACTTTTATCAATTATTAAATACTTTGAAATGATATATATTGATTGAACATATTTCGAGATGTTAAAGATATTTCGATATTAAATATATTATTATTATTAGAAAAGTTTATATCTTCCGTTTTTATTACTTAACATGAAGTCATTGGATTCAGCAATTCTACAAATTACAGCAAGAAATGAAAATTTCAAATATATTATATTATTAAAATTTCAATGTTCTTGCAACATCTTTTGTTATATCTTATATTATATATATGAGTTTTAATACATTTTATGATTATTTTTAATTAAAATTTATGTCATATATTATGTCAAATATACATATATACGTGTATATACATATATATATATATATATGTATATATATATATATATATATATATATATATGTATACAGGGTGGGGAAAAAGTATGGAAGCAAACAATTATTTCCGAAACTATTCATTTTTCGACAAAATGTCTTAGACATAATTTTTATGGTATGAAAAAATGTATTATATGGCATAGACGGCATGACCTTGAAATGACCCTTACGAACTGCATACAAATAACGTAAAAAATTTCAAATGGAACTCGTCAGTTTTTGTTACAGATTCTTGTAGCTGATGTCAAAACGTTTACAAAACACTGCATATGAGCCCCATTCCCTTAAAAACACTCCCAGTTACGAAACAATTGTGATAATTCGTATCGACGAAATTGAAAACAGACAGCGTACGTGTGATTACATGAATGTGTGTAACGCGACTGAACGTCATTATGAGAGATCAGTACAACAGTAGCGATTACTGCAACAAATGGAGAATAACCCGCTTCGATCATCTCTCGTTCTGTTAATCGGGCCATCGTGAAAATAACATTTGAAATTACAGAAATGAAAATCAGTAACAATTCCTATGATAGAAAACGACAAAAATAGCAAATTTTTAAAACACAATATCCGAAACTTGTATGCCAATTGACATTACTTTTTTAAGGATAAAATAAATGATAATAATAAATAAGGTAGCGATGATCAAGAAATCAAAAAAATTCTATGAATACTCATAGACAGTGTATCATGTGACAACAGGTACAATTACATGTTATTAGTGGACGCAACTGAACGTCATGATGCGAAATCAGTAAGCAATGTCAATGTGCATACAAATTGTTTGTATTACAATTGTTTCGTAACTGGGAGTGTTTTTAAGGGAATGGGGCTCATATGCAGTGTTTTGTAAACGTTTCGACATCAGCTACAAGAATCTGTAACAAAAACTGACGAGTTCCATTTGAAATTTTTTACGTTATTTGTATGCAGCTCGTAAGGGTCATTTCAAGGTCATGCCGTCTATGCCACATAATACATCTTTTCATACCATAAAAATTATGTCTAAGACATTTTGTCGAAAAATGAATAGTTTCGGAAATAATTGTTTGCTTCCATACTTTTTCCCCACCCTGTATATATATATATATATATATATTGAAACACCCTGCATATATATATATATATATATATATATATATATATATATATATGCAGGGTGTTTCATTTTAATCCGACCACCTAAATTTCTCGGAACCTAAGCAAGATAGAGAAAAATGTTTTAGACAAAAGTTGTATGGTTTCAAGGGGGACATAAGATGGTGTCATTAGTTTGATCTTGAAGAGCCACCTGAAGGACACGCGAAGGTCAGCTCCAACTTTTTAAATGGGACACCCTATATGCTTTTACATATTCTTGTAGCTCATCTTAAGAGCTTTCCAAAACACTATAATTAAGTTAGTTTTCATTAAGTACTTTCCAAGTTATGAGGCTTGAAATCATTTTTTAATTTTACATAAACCGTAAAATATCATGTAAAATATTCATTTTTCGATTATTTTACCTTAATACTTTTATGTACAAAATAATGAGAAGAATCAATTGATGTAAAGAAAACTCATAGTTGTTTTGAAAAAAAATATGTAATTTGCAATTAACAATTACATATTTTTTCTTAAAAATAACTATGTCTTTTCTTTACACCAATTAATTCCTCTCATTATTTTGTACATAAAAGTGTTAAGGTAAAATAATCGAAAAATGAATATTTTACAAGATATTTTACGGTTTATGTAAAATTAAAAAATGATTTCAAGCCTCATAACTTGGAAAGTACTTAATGAAAACTAACTTAATTATAGTGTTTTGGAAAGCTCTTGAGTTGAGCTACAAGAATATGCAAAAGCATATAGGATGTCCCATTTAAAAAGTTGGAGCTGACCTTCGCGTGTCCTTCAGGTGGCTCTTCAAGATCAAACTAATGACACCATCTTATGTCCCCCTTGAAACCATACAACTTTTGTCTAAAACATTTTTCTCTAACTTGCTTAGGTTCCAAGAAATTTAGGTGGTCGGATTAAAATGAAACACCCTGTATATAATAAGAATTATACAAACATATGTATTTATATATTGAAATATATATACTTGAAATTATATACAACATAATTTTAAATTTATTATCATATAATATATAATATAAATTTAATATTCAATATGTAAATTTAGATGTAAATTTATTTTTCAATATTTACCAGCTTGTTGTAAATTGATAATAATCCATTGATTATTCTCTTGAAATAAAAATTCAATTTTTGAATCCCTTGGTGTTAACCACATTTCCGTCCATGTTATGGTAAAATTGGGATTCGACTCCGTAGCATAAGTAATAGGTATATAACAATGTTTCTCTAATTTGTTGTGAAATTGTACCGATATAGTTACAAGATAACTAGAATAATTTCGCGTCACCTCTAACACGGAAGGATATTTCTGCATAATCCACGAATTTATCGCATCTTTTATATTAAAATCATACTTAGGATACGATTCATTTAGCTTAGATCTCATAGCGTTCCATAAATGATCGGCAGTTGTTGCTTCAGGCTTACTAAGTCTATAAGATTTAACATTATGATAATTTTAACACTATATTAAAATTGATAAATAAATAATTAAGAAGAAAATCATATTTTACAAAATTTATTATTGTATTTTAATCTATAATTTAATCTATAATGTAACTCCTAATGAAAAATAGGGAGTTTCATTTTAAAAAATGCACTTTCGGTCTGAATCGCCTATTTCCGGCCGGAACCAGAAGTTGGAAATACCATTCGATAGAGCGCACCCAATATATAAAAAAATGTTTTTAATTTTTTAAAATAACCACTTCTCTAGTTTTTAAATGGGTGGTACGGGTGGTACGGGTCTGAAATGGGTGGTACGGGTCTGAAACACCTTGTATATATACATATTGTTACGGCCCTGATGTCCGTGTTCATCGGGACGGCGCCGATTAACGAGAAGAAGCGCGTTGTCAAGAGATTGTTGACAGCAGCGTCTGTCATTTGAGTTTGGTCCCAGTTGTCAAGCTGTGCGGTCGCGTATTTGTAACGAGCCGATCCGTATTATTATTATTGTGTATAAATGTTCTGTGGTTACGTTGCAGTGTTCTGTGTTGTGCATTAAAGTTCCTAGTTACTCTCAAAAGTATTTATTCATTTCGCGCGACTCGCGAGCGGCCGATCCCTTCGTGCGCGACTTCGATATCTATCGAAGTCCTCGCCGCGGGCGTAACAATATATATATATATATTCTTATTAATATATATTAATATACATTTATTAGTAATTATGTCAGCATTTATCGTGACTGAATAAATAATAATTTTAATTTTTATATTACAAAGATTTTAGAGTGTTTATATTCTATGTTTATAAAACTAGATTCTCGAAATCATTCAATTTGAGTTATTTGTTATTTAGAAAAAATGAATATCTATTATATATAGATTAAGAACAAAGTTGAAATTCATTAGTGATAAAAATTCCTAAATATAAAGTAGCAGTATAAATTTAAACTTTTAAATATCTATATCTTTTAAACATTAAGAAACTGGAAATATATTATTAAACTTATTTTATATTTTGATTTTTTCTTCTTTTTCTGTTTGATGTATATTATTACATTACAATTATTATAATGCATTATACTTACTGATTATTCAAATATTTGATGAATCCCTCTGAAAATATATGAAGTGGTAATGTTCGTTCTAACATGCGCCATATAACAGATCCTATAATGTTTAAAAGAAAAAATGTAATATATTTAAAATCCCTTTATTAAAATGTGCAATAAAGGTTTGTGAATATATTTGTAACTAATAAAACTAAATGAATCACACACAAAATTTGTGCAATTAAATCAAAGTAAGCAGCTATGAAAAATTGTTAAATATATTTCGACAAAAAAATTTGTAATAATATATAAATAGTGAATGATTACAAATTTGTTAAAAATAATAAATTATACAATTATAATAAATCAATTAATTTTATATATTATTATGATTTCTTGAAATCTTAAACAAACATGTATAATTATAATTTTTAAAAAATTACACATTACAATAAAATTATCCAAAAATTGTAAAAAAATTTAATTTTAAAGTTGGATATTATTACGTTATTGCAAATATTATATAAAAGAATATAAAAATATTATATAAAAGAATATATTAAATTTTACAAATGAAGGGCCTTGCACGGTTCTTTCTATGGAAATTGAATTTAGAAGAAATTTGAATTTTGATTGAATGTGCTGAATTTTGTAAATAAATAGTTTACGTGAAAACATAATAAAAAATTAGAAAAATGTCAAAATAAATGTAAGCTTGATGAAGTCGTTTTATCACTACGTATTAAGTATTGAAAGTATCGAATTAAGACGTTATTTCAATACTATTATGGAAAAGTATAGTTATTTCAATACTACTATTATGGAAAAGTATAGTTATTTTAATAGTATAGTTATTTCAATACTACTATTATGGAAAAGAATAATATATCAAATAGAGTAAATAATAGTATATTAGAATGTCACACACAGTTGATCATTTTTATTAATACATTTTATTAATATATTTACATGGAAAAAATTTGTGTGTAGCAGAATCGTCGCAGCCATAACATGCTATTTGATATTTGATAAAATATCATTAGTTAAAAGTATAGTTATCATATAGGTTTTCCCTAAGTCTCCCCCTTTGGATGAGAGAGGGATACAACTTCTCTAATTGCTTCAAACGACCAACCTTTCAAAATAATTAAACATCTGTTTCACGATTTTTCGTAATTTTTGAACCGTTTCTGAAATATAGTGAATGGAAAATTTATGGACACTTTATATATTTATGTACATATTTTCCACGTAAATATAATATCTATATATTAATAAAAGTAATATATATATATATATATATATATATTAATAAAAGTAATCAACTGTGTGTGATTCTACTCAATAATACATTATGTACTTTCCCTCAGTAGTTAAGAAATAAAGCCTTATTTCGACATTTAAACGCTTGTAGCGATGAAATGGCTCTATCAAACGATATCCCGATTAATGTGACTTTTGATTTGCCACAAACTATTTCCAGAGTTTCTGCAAATTTCACCAAACATCAAAATTCAATTTCCATAAGAAGCGTACAGAGTCTTTTATTTATAAATAACATTTCTCATTTTCTATGAAATTAACATTCAGAAACTTATAATTATTTAATTGCTTAATTATGCTATGTTATACGCATACCTTTGATATGAGAAAGAGAAGAGTGAAAATAATTTTCAGGATAACTATTATATTCTATAGTAGAATTTATAACAACATAAGTATTTAGATAGAGTAATTCATGTTGAACTTGAACTACAAACAAATCCATCATCCGGGAATTTGGCAGAACCTAAAATCAATTCGATATAATCATAACTAATCATAAATAATAAAGAGAAATAGTTTTCGGTACATTTTAAGAACAGTATTAATATGTACTATTGTTAAGAATAAAAATTAATAGTTTGGAATTTGGCTCAAAAATAAAAAATTAAATCAAAATTGGCACATCAGAGACACAGCGCGATAGTTGGAGCGCAGGAAAGAAATATCACTTCCTTCTTTTTAAGAAAGGATCAAAAGACGTTCCGAAACGTTCACCCATTAATTTCAATTTTAATTTAAAGTTTTAAGTAAACAAATAATAAAAAAGAAGGAAATGTTGTTTCTCTCGTGCGTTCCAAGTACCGCGCTGTGATTCTGATGTGCCAATTTTGATTTAATTTGTTAAGAATAAAGTTTTTATGTGTGTTTGAGTGTGTAAATATATTTTACTGCGATAATTTTAATATAAACACACACACGTGTGTGTGTGTGTGTGTGTGTGTGTGTGTGTAGTTCTTATTAAATTTCATTTACTGAATTTCTAGAAATTTAAAAGATTGAGATTTTTATTACTTCTTATAATTAAGAAATAAAATAGAATATTTGCATAAATATTTACAATTATGTGCATTGCTAAACTGTTAATCATTTGACTACGTATTCAAATAGCGTTAGTAATTAAACAACCTTGTCGATAATGTATTCTTGCCAAAATATATTAAATCCTTCGATTAACGTACGAGACCATAAGTAAGTTGGTCTGAACAGATTTCCAGTATATTTTTGTATCATCCCATGTGCAATTAAACGTGTAATTATCGTTTTATATACGACAGGATCTAATTCTTCATTATAAGTGATATCTGCTTCTCTAAAAATAATTATACTTATATGTATGAAATATTTTGAATATTAATATGATCTCTTATGTAAATAGATTATAATAATATAGGTAATTAAAATAGTTAATATATCTGTATTCAATTATATATATTACCGATAAAAAACGAAACCGAAAGTCTGTTCGATTTCTTTTTGTAAAGCCGGAATTGCGACATGATCCACTTTACTCTCAAATGAAAAAAAGGGGTTTTCAAATGCTTTTTTCAAAATATTCCATTCATTCATAAATGTACTAGCGGAAATAATAACAGTTTTCGCAAATTCTAGATGCGGTTCCGATTGTGGTCTGAACCATATGGATGAAAGAATTCTTTCATTTTTCGAGAGAATGCTCTGATGAAAACTGGAAACCAGACATGCTACACTATCTATGGAGATCAAAGGAGTTTTGTGAAAAAATGTCCACATCATATTATAGTTCATCAATTTAGTTTCTCGTATCGGCATATTTGACAAAGCTTTGTACTTTGGATGATGCAATATAGAAATAACAAAAGTTATTCCTAATTCTGGGTTGTCCCAATATGGAAATATTTGCTGTTTTTTCGTTTGATACCAGTTTCTTCGCTGGATACCTGTTGCGATTAACCACCTACCGTATTTTAATGACATTTTAGGTAATGATTAATTTTAGATAATTGTAAGGGTAGAATTCACAAATGTACAATTTGTTTTTACTATTTTATATATTCTTCTACTTACTCTATTTTTTCATCTTCGTTTAAGTACGGAGTTCCGAAAGATTCCCTTACGATATTAATTAAGATTTCATACTCTATATACAGATCGTACTTTCCATTCAACAAGACATCACCGAAGTCGAGCACGTAAATATTGTTTTTCATAAAAATTGTGTGATTTGTTTCATAAACCGTACCGTTATTTGTCTTTAATGTCGATACTATTATACTCACTGAATCCGGTGCATAAAAACTTATGTATTGTTTCGCATAAAAAATATTTAAAGTGATTATGCAATTGCTACGGAGATAATTATTGAGTAACACTAACTCTATGTTATAATGTATCGGAAGTATATAACCTAATATATTGCTTAATTTGTTGTTTAATACACTGCGCACAATTTTCGATTCTTCATCGGTTTCCACTCCTTTGATTTCTTTTTCACCGTCCATAGGACTTGCTATTGCCACTATAGCAAGGTATATTATACTATTACTTAATAATAGTTTTAAGAATGTCATGTTGAATTTCATTCGGATATCTATAAAAAAACGTTTCTTCATTTAAAACAAAAGTATATACAAAGAGTATGCAATAAAATCGATTTTTGTATGAAAAAACGTTCAAGAGAATTTACTAAACACTTCATAAGAAAATACGATTAATTTAAAAAGAAATTAAAATAATACAGTTTAATAAATAAAGGAATGATTAGAAATAATAAGTATAAAAATTATTAATATGAAATATTTTTCTCGGATTTCAATATTAGGAGACATAAAGGATGTATTTAGATAATTCCAATAAGATGAGCACAATAAACATAACTCTTATTTATCTCAATTTAGTTATCTTTAAGATTCGTCTTAATGTAATTACATATTTTAATGTATATACATATATATAATATAGGCATTAAAATGTATGAGAAATGAAGGTATATTCTGAACAACGCGATTTTATAGCTGATATGAACTGTATGTTTACAAATATGTTATTTTCAAGATCGATCTGTTCCTTAAGTAAGAAATGTATTAAAAACATACAAACTCTGAACGGAAATCAAATATCATCAAATATTTGAAATTTTGATATTGTAGCTAATTGTATCAAACATTCGAACAAAATTCTAAAAACAATTATATTAATATTTTTATAACACGTTTTTTTGAATAAAATATTTATTTTTTAATATTTATTGTTTATTCGTTCACTACACATTCAAATTAACATATCCTATTGGTCTTAGACATTCATTATAAAAAATATTTTAAAAACAAAACACAAGTAATAATATACGTTTTTAAGATAGATAATTTCATAGCTTAGATAATGAGATAATATTTTATATAGCATAGATAATTTTATAGCATTAATATAAAACTAACTACACAACAATTTTATATAAAACTAATATAAAACTAACTACACAACAATTTTATAATGTCTAAAGGAAATTTAGCTTATAAATTTTACATTTTCTATATGTTAAAATGGTCGAAACATGTTATTACAGTACAAATGTAAATGTCTTCATTTCTATTAACTGTAATGTATGCAAAAGATAAAAATAATATTTATAATAAAATGAGTTAGTCGATTTAAAAATTTAAGACTAAAGATGCAGAAAAATAAAGAATAAATAAATAAAATGTCTTTTATAAAATGAAAGCGTTACCTGTTACTCCACACAATTTTGTATGCACATTTAAAGAAAGAAAGATAACTATTTTATTATATATTTAATGCTTTTTTTATCCTAATAAATTTGAATTAGCCAGGTTTTATATCAGATTTAAACCACCAAAAGCATTCAATCGCGAACTTTTCGCTTCAAGAGACTATCATGAACTGATGGCTCTGTCGGCGTACCTAACAGTATATAGAAGGTTATACCTAGTGCTATATAAATACCATCTTGATTATACGTAGCATAGCTTATCTTACATATCGATAGAAGTCAATAAGTATAAACTTGTTTATGTTTTTTTATCTTATTTTTATATATTATCGTATAAAGCTTTTATTTATAAAGACAATTTTTCTAAGAAATTACTCGCGAGAAAAAATTAATTAAAGAATTATAATTGTACTTACACTTACATGTGTTGGTCGTTCTTTTTTAATATATATTTCGAAATTTTACGAGGCAGATTTCAAAATGATATAGGATATTTTAGTTCAGTTTAGCTACATTTACTTATGATTTTACTTTGTTGCGAGATACTGGAAACACCTTGTATATGTATCTGTGTAAAATAAACACATGTAAATATATAATCAACATCTATGTATTAAATTTACAGAATAATACAGAAGAGTAATGCAATGTAATATGTAATATAATATAATATTAAAAATATACATAATATTCATAATATGAATTATATTGTAATGTAATATAATATAAAAAATAAAAAAGACTAACAAGTAAAGGTCGAAAGATAACAATCAAATAACAATATAAACACAGGCTTATTTTAAGGACCAACCAAATAAAACAATTATAGGCAAGAAAAAATTGTATATAACATTAAGCAAATACAAAGACGTTAATAATCGTTACTGATGTTAAAAAAATTAAATTTGAAAATTACAAAATAAAATATTAATAGGCCATCTGAAATTGTTTCTGTGGTTTCTGATCATAAACTTGCTGGCCACGAGTTTAATTGGGATGACGTAAGGATCTTAGATGAAGATCCCTCCTTTCTAAGACGGATCATCTCAGAAATGATCCACATTACTCGTCATAACAATAGCTTGAATATTCAGAACGACACTGATAATTTAGACAAAGCCTATTTACCCATCATAAAAAAATTTTCTTCGGAGTGATACATAAAAAACTTTCTTCGGAGTGATTCTACCTTACATGATCTCATTCTTACTCCGTTCCTGTTCTCTTTCCCTCCCCCTCCTTCTTCTTCTTTCCTTTTCTCTCCTTTTCGTTTGACTGAAAATTACTTTGCTCACAGCCACGCAGTCTTTTGTGACTTTATGTTGATGGCGCTCCACACTAGCCTTTCTCTCTTGCTTCTCGAATTTTGCTCCTGCTTCTTTTTCTCTTTCTGGCTTGCTTTCTTCGGCTCTATCACGGTTTCTCCACCTGTACGTAATTATATTTTTCGTTTTTATTCCTGCGCATGGCTTGCATGTGACAGTGCTTTTCACTCTGCCTCTTTTCTCATGATTTTTTTAGATCTGTACTATATCCGAGGAATTTGAAAGATCAGGCATGACGAGCAATTTTGCGCAACTGTGCGATGGCGTTTCCGTTGGATTAAAGTATTCTTTTATTGTTGCGGCTTCTTGGGGGCTTCCTTGCCTCTACGTGCGTATTTCTGCGTCCGCCTTTACCGTTTAATATACGCGGGTGGCTCGTTGCTTTCCATTGCATACCCTAATTTTTGCGTTAACATCTTTTAAGAGAAAGTTTTTTTGTCTGCTATTATGATAGAAAGTCTCTTGTGTTTGCGCTTATACCTTGCTGTCGTTTGACATTTTCAAATTTTTTGGTATACATTTATAGCGTTTATTTATAAGCATTGAAAATGATCCGAAGCGGATCGAAACGTTTGCGTCTTTATTTTATTTTGTAATTTTCAAATTTAATTTTTTAACATCAGTAACGATTATTAACGTCTTTGTATTTGCTTAATGTTATATACAATTTTTTCTTACCTATAATTGTTTTCTTATTTGTTTGGTCCTTAAAATAAGCCTGTGTTTATATTGTTATTTGAATAATATAATATTTTTAAACGATATTATACAATATAATATTTTTATAAAATATTATTCAAACAATATTTTTAATATTATATTGTGCAATTATAATATTATGTTGATTAAATACAATTAAACAATTATTAATTCTTTTATTAACATTAGTGAATAATTAAGTATATACATTTATAAATATTATTACAATCATTTATGCTGTATTTTTAATTTCTACACAGTTAATGTCTTAAAGATTTAGTTATTCAATTGTTAAATAAAGATCGAAAATAATTTATTTGTTTTTCGATCTCCGACGAGCGTGTTTTTATCTTGTATTCAATATTGGGAATGACTGAATATTTCAACTTCTTTCTTACAAATTCTTTTATCTAAAATGGATTTTTTAAATAATTATTACCAATAAATGATTTCCTATATTCAATAATTGCACTGTCACAAATATAGAATGTCCTTATGAACAGAATTATAGAAAAATATTATATAAAATATAGAAATTTGATTTATTTAAAATTTACCTCGTCCAACTGTTCCATAGAATACGCATTGTTAATTATAACAATTAATGCCACAATCTCATTGACTCTTCTATCAAGAATAAAACAATATTATAACTAATTCGTACAATAAATATTTGTGTCTACGTGTAGTATACCTTTAGTAGATGATATCATTACCTGTGTCTTATTATTATGTCATTATTTAATAAATTTGGAAGCATATACTTAGTATTCCTCTCAAGAATAGAAAGAAAAATATTAGCATTTAAGGCATAAGCTCGCTCTGTCGATTCAAGTTGAAGATGAAATTGATTATACAAAGGTTTTGAAATTTGTGAAATTATTACAGCATGTGTGATCATTTCTAAATAATTGATTAAAATTTCAGAATTTTTACTATAAGTCAAACAGTCAAACATTTTATCATTTCCTTTCATGTAATTATGAAAAAACTATATCCCACGTATCATGATCTGCCGTTTTTAAGCCATTGCAATATGTCCACCTCTTCCATTCAGGCAAAAGTCTACAGGAGACAGTTCAATGAAGAAATAAAAATCTTTTAACGAAATTGTATTAATAGCTTCTTTAGTGTTTTATGAATAATTTTTAAAATAAATGATAACTAATTTCTCAAACATATGTAGAATGTAAAAAATATTTCTATATAAACAATAAAATATTATGAAAAGAATTACTTGTTTTCTTTAGGATTTGCTAGATGCCATTTCAAATAACGATAAGACTTTTCTTCGCAAGGATGATCCTCTATAATACATTCCCACTTTGCAAGTTCTTGTTTTAAACATTTAGTATAGTCGCTGATGTTACTTTGAAATCGAATCCAATAACTAGATCTAAAATTCTTCATAAAATCAAACCTTAGCACGTCCTAAAATTTAATAACTATCATTATATTTAGTTTATTCATTATTTACAAGAACAGATATAATGTACACGCATTCAAACGATTTACTAAATAATTTTCTTTCATATTTCTTTAATATTTATGTGACTTCGCATCAATATCATAATATGTAGATTTATCAATTCCTTATTTGTGTGTGAATTTCTTATTTGTGTATATATTTTATCATCGCGTATGGTTTTATATCATTTAATGTATTTTTAATACATATATCGATATATAATGTGTTTCATAATATTGTCCTAACGTTCGTGTGTATTTATTTTACCATCGCGTATGGATTTTATATCTTTTAATTAATTTTTAACACACATATCGATATATGAAGTGTTTTATAAAATTGTGCTGACGTTCGTGAGTGGATAGAGCGCAATAAACTGAACAGAAAGATCTTTTACTATTCTACAATTTTTGTAATAATTATGGAAATATTAATTAAAACTGTGAATAAACGCGCGTTTCGCGAGATGGTATATCGTAGGATATGCGTGATAAATGTGCCAGTGCCGAATGTCGCATACCAATAAAAAAACAAGAGTCGAGGCACGCGCGATCAAGTTTTAGGAGACACTTTGTGTATATATTTTAATCGGTGCATATGGATGTATCAATTGATGTATTGATTTTTACATATGATTTTTACTTTTTTAATTATTATTTTCTTAATTTAAATCTATGTATCAAATATAAATTTTAAGTATTTTATACTTTAAATATCAACTTCTTTTATAAAACAAGCATTTACAAGTGGATTATTATATCTTAAATTATTATGTGTTGTATAATGTAAAAAAATTATCCTAAAATTATATAAGTCAATTTCTCTGCAAAATGTTTGTATACTTTTAACATTGTAAACATTCGAATACTACGAAAGAAAATTAATATAAGAAAAATAATTGTGTTATATACTGTATTCTATAATTTCCTAAACCTAATTAAATATTAATTACACACAATTAATCAACAATTATCATGTAAATACTGACGTATTATTAATATAGAAAAATAACTTAATGAAATATTTAAAATTTATATGATTCTATTAAATATAAAAAAAAATATATAACAAATATGTAACGTAAACATATTTTGAATTTAAATTTCTGAATTTTGGTATAAAATCTATTTTTAAACGAATTCATTATTATGATACAAAATCGTTGTATCATAAAATACATAATTGATGTAATGGATAAATTTTATAAAAAAATGTTATTAAATATATGTGTGTATATATATATATATATATATATATATATATATATATATTTGTATACCTTAAATTCAGGATAAAAATTTAAGAATGGAAAGATGTTCGACAGAAATTCAAATGCTTTGAGCATAGGATACCATGCTATATAATCTGTTTCCTGTGCCAAATAAGAAGCGAGTTCCCAAAATATGGAGAATTTAAGTTTCTTCTCTATCGCAAAATGAAATGCATCATTGATGATTTGCGCTCGATTGAGAACATGTATATTACTATATTTTTCAGAATTTAAGTATTGTGCAATTTTTCCCCAGTTCATAATATCATAATTGACGCGATAGTATCCTGTTATAAAATAAATTACTTTTGTCAATTATTAAATACTTTGAAATGATATATATTGATTGAACATATTTCGAGATGATATTTCGATATTAAATATATTATTATTATTAGAAAAGATTATATTTTCCGTTTTTATTACTTAACATGAAGGCATTGGATTCAGCAATTCTACAAATGACAGCAAAAAATGAAAATTTCAAATATATTATATTATTAAAATTTCAATGTTCTTGCAACATCTTTTGTTATATCTTATATTATATATATGAGTTTTAATACATTTTATGATTATTTTTAATTAAAATTTATGTCATATATTATGTCATATATACATATATACGTGTATATACATATATATATATATATATATATATATATATATATAATAATTATACAAACATATGTATTTATATATTGAAATATATATACTTGAAATTATATACAACATAATTTTAAATTTATTATCATATAATATATAATATAAATTTAATATTCAATATGTAAATTTAGATGTAAATTTATTTTTCAATATTTACCAGCTTGTTGTAAATTGATAATAATCCATTGATTATTCTCAAGAAAGAAAAATTCAATTTTTGAATCCCATGGTGTTAACCACATATCTGTCCAAGTTTTGATAAAATTGGGATTCGACTCCGAAGCATAAGTAATAGGTATATAACATTGTTTCTCTAATTTATTGTAAAATTGTACCGATATAGTTACAAGATAACTAGAATAATTTCGCGTCACCTCCAACACGGAAGGATATTTCTGCATAATCCACGAATTTATCGCATCTTTTATATTAAAATCATACTTAGGATACGATTCATTTAGCTTAGATCTCATAGCGTTCCATAAATGATCGGCAGTTGCTGCTTCAGGCTCACTAAGTCTATAAGATTTAACATTATGATAATTTTAACACTATATTAAAATTGATAAATAAATAATTAAGAAGAAAATCATATTTTACAAAATTTATTATTGTATTTTAATCTATAATTTAATCTATAATGTAACTCCTAATGAAAAATAGGGAGTTTCATTTTTAAAAATGCATTATCGGTCTGAATCGCCTATTTCCGGCCGGAACCAGAAGTTGGAAATACCATTCGATAGAGCGCACCCAATATATAAAAAAATGTTTTTAATTTTTTGAAATAACCACTTCTCTAGTTTTTAAATGGGTACGGGTGGTCTGAAACACCCTGTATATATACATATTGTTACGGCCCTGATGTCCGTGTTCATCGGGACGGCGCCGATTAACGAGAAGAAGCGCGTTGTCAAGAGATTATTGACAGCACCGTCTGTCATTTGAGTTTGGTCCCAGTTGTCAAGCTGTGCGGTCGCGTATTTGTAACGAGCCGATCCGTATTATTATTATTTTGTATAAATGTTCTGTGGTTACGTTGCAGTGTTCTGTGTTGTGCATTAAAGTTCCTAGTTCCTCTCAAAAGTATTTATTCATTTCGCGCGACTCGCGAGCGGCCGATCCCTTCATGCGCGACTTCGATATCTATCGAAGTCCTCGCCGCGGGCGTAACAATATATGTATATACAGGGTGACCCATTTTAACTTAGGCAGCCAAATAACTCGAAAAATAAGCACACTACGAAAAAATGGTTAGAATCAAAATTTCGTCATTTCGAGGGGGACGTACAATGACGTTAAAATCAGCCCCCCCCGCCCCTTCCCCTGGGTGGTGAGGGGGGGCAAGTTTAAAATCTTAAATGGGAACCCCTATTTTTAATTGCATATTCTTGTAGCTTATCTCGAGAGCTTTCCAAAACACTATAATTAAGTACCTTTTTATTAAGTACTTTTTGAGTTATAAGGCTTGAAATAATTTCTTAATTTTACATAAACCATAAAATATCTAGTAAACCATTCATTTTTCGATTATCTTACCTTCATACTTTTATGTACAAAATAATGAGAGGAATCAATTGGTGTAAAGAAAACATACAGTTGTTTTTAAGAAAAAATATGGAATTGTTAATTGCAAATTACATATTTTTTCTTAGAAACAACTACGATTAAGAAACAACTAAGATTTCAAACTTGCCCCACCTCACCGCCCAGGGGGAGGGGTGGGGGGGCTGATTTTAACGTCATTGTACGTCCCCCTCGAAATAACGAAATTTTGATTCTAACCATTTTTTCGTAGTGTGCTTATTTTTCGAGTTATTTGGCTGCCTAAGTTAAAATGGGTCACCCTGTATATATATATATATATATATATATATATATATATATATATATTCTTATTAATATATATTAATATACATTTATTAGTAATTATGTCAGCATTTATCGTGACTGAATAAATAATAATTTTAATTTTTATATTACAAAGATTTTAGAGTGTTTATATTCTATGTTTATAAAACTAGATTCTCGAAATCATTCAATTTGAGTTATTTGTTATTTAGAAAATATGAATATCTATTATATATAGATTAAGAAAAAAGTTGAAATTCATTAGTGATAAAAATTCCTAAATATAAAGTAGTATAAATTTAAACTTTTAAATATCTATATCTTTTAAACATTAAGAAACTGGAAATATATTATTAAACTTATTTTATATTTTGATTTTTTCTTCTTTTTCTGTTTGATGTATATTATTACATTACAATTATTATAATGCATTATACTTACTGATTATCCAAATATTTGATGAATCCCTCTGAAAATATATGAAGTGGTAATGTTCGTTCTAACATGCGCCATATAACAGATCCTATAATGTTTAAAAGAAAAAATGTAATATATTTAAAATCCCTTTATTAAAATGTGCAATAAAGGTTTGTGAATATATTTGTAACTAATAAAACTAAATGAATCACACACAAAATTTGTGCAATTAAATCAAAGTAAGCAGCTATGAAAAATTGTTAAATATATTTCGACAAAAAAATTTGTAATAATATATAAATAGTGAATGATTACAAATTTGTTAAAAATAATAAATTATACAATTATAATAAATCAATTAATTTTATATATTATTATGATTTCTTGAAATCTTAAACAAACATGTATAATTATAATTTTTAAAAAATTACACATTACAATAAAATTATCCAAAAATTGTAAAAAAATTTAATTTTAAAGTTGGATATTATTACGTTATTGCAAATATTATATAAAAGAATATAAAAATATTATATAAAAGAATATATTAAATTTTACAAATGAAGGGCCTTGCACGGTTCTTTCTATGGAAATTGAATTTAGAAGAAATTTGAATTTTGATTGAATGTGCTGAATTTTGTAAATAAATAGTTTACGTGAAAACATAATAAAAAATTAGAAAAATGTCAAAATAAATGTAAGCTTGATGAAGTCGTTTTATCACTACGTATTAAGTATTGAAAGTATCGAATTAAGACGTTATTTCAATACTATTATGGAAAAGTATAGTTATTTCAATACTACTATTATGGAAAAGTATAGTTATTTTAATAGTATAGTTATTTCAATACTACTATTATGGAAAAGAATAATATATCAAATAGAGTAAATAATAGTATATTAGAATGTCACACACAGTAGATCATTTTTATTAACATACATTTTATTAATATATTTACATGGAAAAAAATTTGTGTGTAGCAGAATCGTCGCAGCCATAACATGCTATTTGATATTTGATAAAATATCATTAGTTAAAAGTATAGTTATCATATAGGTTTTCCCTAAGTCTCCCCCTTTGGATGAGAGAGGGATACAACTTCTATCTAATTGCTTCAAACGACCAACCTTTCAAAATAATTAAACATCTGTTTCACGATTTTTCGTAATTTTTGAACCGTTTCTGAAATATAGTGAATGGGAAATTTATGGACACTTTATATATTTATGTACATATTTTCCACGTAAATATAATATCTATATATTAATAAAAGTAATATATATATATATATATATATATATATATATATATTAATAAAAGTAATCAACTGTGTGTGATTCTACTCAATAATACATTATGTACTTTCCCTCAGTAGTTAAGAAATAAAGCCTTATTTCGACATTTAAACGCTTGTAGCGATGAAATGGCTCTATCAAACGATATCCCGATTAATGTGACTTTTGATTTGCCACAAACTATTTCCAGAGTTTCTGCAAATTTCACCAAACATCAAAATTCAATTTCCATAAGAAGCGTACAGAGTCTTTTATTTATAAATAACTTTTCTCATTTTCTATGAAATTAACATTCAGAAACTTATAATTATTTAATTGCTTAATTATGCAATGTTATACGCATACCTTTGATATGAGAAAGAGAAGAGTGAAAATAATTTTTAGGATAACTATTATATTCTATAGTAGAATTTATAACAACATAAGTATTTAGATAGAGTAATTCATGTTGAACTTGAACTACAAACAAATCCATCATCCGGGAATTTGGCAGAACCTAAAATCAATTCGATATAATCATAACTAATCATAAATAATAAAGAGAAATAGTTTTCGGTACATTTTAAGAACAGTATTAATATGTACTATTGTTAAGAATAAAAATTAATAGTTTGGAATTTGGCTCAAAATTAAAAAATTAAATCAAAATTGGCACATCAGAGACACAGCGCGATAGTTGGAGCGCAGGAAAGAAATATCACTTCCTTCTTTTTAAGAAAGGATCAAAAGAAGTTCCGAAACGTTCACCCATTATTTTCAATTTTAATTTAAAGTTTTAAGTAAACAAATAATAAAAAAGAAGGAAATGTTGTTTCTCTCGTGCGTTCCAACTACCGCGCTGTGGTTCTGATGTGCCAATTTTGATTTAATTTGTTAAGAATAAAGTTTTTATGTGTGTTCGAGTGTGTAAATATATTATACTGCGATAATTTTAATATAAACACACACACACACACGTGTGTGTGTGTGTTTGTGTGTGTAGTTCTTATTAAATTTCATTTACTGAATTTCTAGAAATTTAATAGATTGAGATTTTTATCACTTCTTATAATTAAGAAATAAAATAGAATATTTGCATAAATATTTACAATTATGTGCATTGCTAAACTGTTAATCATTTGATTACGTATTCAAATAGCGTTAGTAATTAAACAATCTTGTCGATAATGTATTCTTGCCAAAATATATTAAATCCTTCGATTAATGTATGAGACCATAAGTAAGTTGGTCTGAACAGATTTCCAGTATATTTTTGTATCATCCCATGTGCAATTAAATGTGCAATTATCGTTTTATATACGACAGGATCTAATTCTTCATTATAAGTGATATCTGCTTCTCTAAAAATAATTATACTTATATGTATGAAATATTTTGAATATTAATATGATCTCTTATGTAAATAGATTATAATAATATAGGTAATTAAAATAGTTAATATATCTGTATTCAATTATATATATTACCGATAAAAAACGAAACCGAAAGTCTGTTCGATTTCTTTTTGTAAAGCCGGAATTGCGACATGATCCACTTTGCTCTCAAATGAAAAAAAGGGGTTTCCAAATGCTTTTTTCAAAATATTCCATTCATTCATAAATGCACTAGCGGAAATAATAACAGTTTTCGCAAATTCTAGATGCGGTTCCGATTGTGGTCTGAACCATATGGATGAAAGAATTCTTTCATTTTTCGAGAGAATGCTCTGATGAAAACTGGAAACCAGACATGCTACACTATCTATGGAGATCATAGGAGTTTTGTGAAAAAATGTCCACATCATATTATCGTTTGTCAATTTAGTTTCTCGTATCGGCATATTTGACAAAGCTTTGTACTTTGGATGATGCAATATAGAAATAACAAAAGTTATTCCTAATTCTGGCTTGTCCCAATATGGAAATATTTGCTGTTTTTTCGTTTGATACCAGTTTCTTCGCTGGATACCTGTTGCGATTAACCACCTACCGTATTTTAATGACATTTTAGGTAATGATTAATTTTAGATAATTGTAAGAGTAGAATTCACAAATGTACAATTTGTTTTTGATATTTTATATATTCTTCTACTTACTCTATTTTTTCATCTTCATTTAAGTACGGAGTTCCGAAAGATTCCCTTACGATATTAATTAAGATTTCATACTCTATATACAGATCGTACTTTCCATTCAACAAGACATCACCGAAGTCGAGCACGTAAATATTGTTTTTCATAAAAATTATGTGATTTGTTTCATAAACCGTACCGTTATTTGTCTTTAATGTCGATACTATTATACTCACTGAATCCGGTGCATAAAAACTTATGTATTGTTTCGCATAAAAAATATTTAAAGTGATTATGCATTTGCTACGGAGATAATTATTGAGTAACATTAACTCTATGTTATAATGTATCGGAAGTATATAATCTAATATATTGCTTAATTTGTTGTTTAATACACTGCGCACGATTTTCGATTCTTCATCGGTTTCCACTCCTTTGATTTTTTTTTCACCATCCATAGGACTCGCTATTGCCACTATAGCAAGGTATATTATACTATTACTTAATAATAGTTTTAAGAATGTCATGTTGAATTTCACTCGGATATCTATAAAAAACGTTTCTTCATTTAAAACAAAAGTATATACAAGGAGTATGCAAGAAAATCGATTTTTGTATGAAAAAACGTTTAAGAGAATTTACTAAACACTTCATAAGAAAATACGATTAATTTAAAAAGAAATTAAAATAATACAGTTTAATAAATAAAGGAATGATTGCAAATAATAAGTATAAAAATTATTAATATGAAATATTTTTCTCGGATTTGAATATTAGGAGACATAAAGGATGTATTTAGATAATTTTAATAAGATGAGCACAATAAGCATAACTCTTATTTGTCTCAATTTAGTTATCTTTAAGATTCGTCTTAGTGTAATTACATATTTTAATGTATATACATATATATAATATAAGCATTAAAATGTATGAGAAATGAAGGTATATTCTGAACAACGCGATTTTATACCTGATATGAATTGTATGTTTACAAATATGTTATTTTCAAGATCGATCTGTTCCTTAAGTAAGAAATGTATTAAAAACATACAAACGCTGAATGGGAATCAAATATCATCAAATATTTGAAATTTTGATATTGTGGCGAATTGTATCAAACATTCGAACAAAATTCTAAAAATAATTATATTAATATTTTTATAACACAACTTTCGGAATAAAATGTTAATTTTTTAATATTTATTGTTTATTCGTTTACTACACATTCAAATTAACATATCCTATTGGTAGACATTCATTATAAAAAATATTTTAAAAACAGAACGCAGGTAATAATATACGTTTTTAAGATAGATAATTTCATAGCTTAGATAATGAAATAATATTTTATATAGCATAGATAATTTTATAGCATTAATATAAAACTAACTACACAACAATTTTATAATGTCTAAAGGAAATTTAGCTTATAATTTTACACTTTCTATATGTTAAAATGGTCGAAACAGTGTTATTACAGTACAAATGTAAATGTCTTCATTTCTATTAACTGTAATGTATACAAAAGATAAAAATAATATTTATAATAAAATGAGTTAGTCGATTTAAAAATTTAAGAATAAAGATGCAGAAAAATAAAGAATAAATAAATAAAATGTCTTTTATAAAATGAAAGCGTTACCTGTTATTCCACACAATTTTGTATGCACATTTAAAGAAGGAAAGATAAATATTTTATTATATATTTAATGCTTAATCCTAATAAATTTGAATTAGCCAGGTTTTATATCAGATTTAAATCACCAAAAGCATTCAATCGCGAACTTTTCGCTTCAAGAGACCATCATGAACTGATGGCTCTGTCGGCGTACCTAACAGTATATAGAAGGTTATACCTAGTGTTATATAAATACCATCTTGATTATATGTAGCATAGCTTATCTTACATATCGATAGAAGTCAATAAGTATAAACTTGTTTATGTTTTTTTACAAATATTGAAAAAAGCTCTCTTCGAATTTTATAATGAAATGGAAGAACATAGGCAATAGAGAGCAAGTAAATAAATAAATTATTAAAGATCGAATACAAGTAATAATAATTTAATAAAGTAAACTATAATTGATATAAACATGTTAAGTACGATATAAATAGTTATAAACATGTTAAGTACGATATAATATATTATGTTTTTTTATCTTATTTTCATATATTATCGTATAAAGCTTTTATTTATAAAGACAACTTTTCTAAGAAATTACTCGCGAGAGAAAATTAATTAAAGAATTATAATTGTACTTACACTTGCACGTATTGGTCGTTCTTTTTTAATATATATTTTGAAATTTTACGAGGCAGATTTCAAAATGATATGGGATATTTTACTTCAGTTTAGCGATATTTATTTATGGATTTTACTTTGTTGCGAGATACTGGAAACACCTAATAATAATGAATAATATACAAATAAATTTGGCAGCGTGAAGTTTTTTAATAATTAAAATTTTTTAAATTACGAGCTACATGAATCAACTGTTCATCGTTGAAGAAATCGGGATTCTGACTTTTACGACAAAGATGTAATAACTTTCGACGAAAATATAAACATAATTTTTCTTCATCTAATTATTTATCAGCAGTCAATCACATCTAACACACACACACATACACACACACACATACACACGCACACACACGCACACACACGCACACACACGCACACACAGACAGACAGACACGCACACACACTGTTGATAAACAAAATAAAATCGCACTCTTTTATTCTCGATAATTTTCTCGATAATTCTCTGTAATTTTCTATTTAAATATATCATTAATTTTTGTAGATAATTATGACAACTATTTTACACAATTTTTTTTAATACAGCAATTTTTTATTAAAATAATTTTTTGTAAAATAGTTTTATACAATAATGTTTTACTACTGAGATGACTCGACTTCTTTTTTTTACCTTTCTTTGAAAAGGTAATTTTTTAAAGATATCACTAATTTTTGTAGACAGTTAAGAAATAACTATTTTGCACATTAACTTTGTTTAATGTAACATTTTTGTAGTTTAAATAATACTATGTCTTGTGCATAAAACAGTTTTGTACAATAACATAAAATTTTTTACAATTTAATACTTACACATAATTAACATTTTATACTTTTTAAAAAAGTAACTTTTGAGAATATGTTAAATATCCAAATAAATAAGCAAAGAATCTGCCACCAGCCCCGTCATTTCATTAAAATATGACGATCTTCTCTACTTAATATTCTTTTTGTAAACTTCGTAAAGTTAAAATATTAACAAAGCTACATTCTTCAATTATTATAATTCCAGGTGAAGTTCACTTTAATAAAATTTTAATTTTAGGTTTAGTTACAAACCTTCGACATTTTCAATGAAGAAAAATCGTCTCTAAATAACTTTAGATATCTGTTATTAATGTTACTAGATAGTGTGATAGTGCAGGAGACTGCATATAGGATGAGTTTTATTTCGTGTACTAATTTTTTTTATGTGAAGGATTACTGCCCAGGTAGCAAGCACACGTCATTTTGACGTTCGAAACTAGTCATTTTTGGTCATATGTTGTCAAAATGACTGATTATTGTTACATGACTTTATATTGACGTCTTGCTATAACATTATTTTGACGTCATTTTTCAGTCATGAAGTGATGATTATTTTATTATGAATGTCATTAGTTAGTACATCGATCCCATAAAAAAAATCTTAAAATTTTTTATATAACATGACTTATTTCGCGATCAGACTTTATATATATATAAATAAATATATAAATATAAATATATATAAATATATATATATATATATATATATATATATATACAGGGTGGACCATTTTAATCTATAATGGAAAATATCTCGGAATGTTGGTGAGATACAACAAAATGTTTTAGATAAAAGTTGTATGATTTCAAGGAGGACATAAGATGGTGTCATTAGTTTGATCTTGAAGAGCCACCTGAAGGACACGCGAAGGTCAGCTTCAACTTTTTAAATGGGACACCCTATATGCTTTTGCATATTCTTGTAGCTCATCTCAAGAGATTTCCAAAACACTATAATTAAGTTAGTTTTCATTAAGTACTTTCCAAGTTATGAGGCTTGAAATCATTTTTTAATTTTACATAAACCGTAAAATATCTTGTAAAATATTCATTTTTCGATTATTTTACCTTAATACTTTTATGTACAAAATAATGAAAGGAATCAATTGGTGTAAAGAAAACATACAGTTGTTTTTAAGAAAAAATATGGAATTGTTAATTGCAAATTACATATTTTTTCTTAGAAACAACTATGAGTTTTCTTTACACCAATTGATTCCTCTCATTATTTTGTACATAAAAGTATGAAGGTAAGATAATCGAAAAATGAATGGTTTACTGGATATTTTACGGTTTATGTAAAATTAAAAAATGATTTCAAGCCTCATAACTTGGAAAGTACTTAATGAAAACTAACTTAATTATAGTGTTTTGGAAAGCTCTTGAGATGAGCTACAAGAATATGCAAAAGCATATAGGATGTCCCATTTAAAAAGTTGGAGCTGACCTTCGCGTGTCCTTCAGGTGGCTCTTCAAGATCAAACTAATGACACCATCTTATGTCCCCCTTGAAACCATACAACTTTTGTCTAAAACATTTTGTTGTATCTCACCAACATTCCGAGATATTTTCCATTATAGATTAAAATGGTCCACCCTGTATATATATATATATATATATATATATATATATATACAATATTTATATATATTTATATTTATATATTTATTTATTTATATTTATATTTATTATATATTATATTTTTATATTTATTATATTATATTTATGAAATAAAGAGATGAATTGAAAAGTTTAATATTACTGGCAATAACGAAAGGAATATTACTGAGATATTACTGAAATAGTCAAAATTATTAACTGATTCTTTCTATAAAATATTACTGATTTACAGCGCTGTACTTATATAATAATTACTGTAATCAGTGATTATTTACTGTTTTTCAGTGATAATACACTGATTCACTTTTAGAGAGCGCTTTATTTGACAACATATTAAATATATTATTATGCTAAGAGAAAGACGTCAAATGCGGTACATGTCATGATGTCAGGAATCTGTGACATTAGATCGTCACTTTTACGTCTTAAAAACGTCAATTCATGACGTCAAGAATAATCAGTGAATGACCAATTTGAAACATCAATATGACGTGTTCTTGCTACCTGGGTGATTGCAATTGCAATAAATTAATCGATACATAGGTAACAATTATTTGGATAAGTATTACATTCGATATGCATGGTCGATTAAAATAATTAACATCTATAGGTACTTTCCGATTCACACATGATGCGCATAAAGTGACAGAAAATGTATAATAATATGCGTAACATGAATTATACATTTTCTGTCACTTCATGTGCATCATAGGTGAATCGGAAAGTATATTATGTACCGATCAATTCATTCCAATTACAGTCGGTAATTTCTCGTATGATAAAAAAATTATACATCTCTCATCGTCACGAGAACACAGAGCCTCTTTCGTCAAACGTGCGAACAGTACAAGAAAAATATGTTAAAAATGTAGCCACGACCACGACGGTGACGTTTCTTAATTAAAAAGTTTCACATTGAAACTTTGCATCGTTATATTTCTGCTTATAGAGCACATAGAGCAAAAATAAAGACACTTTCCTTATATAAATCGAACCCAAGCAATTAATTAAATGTAATAAGAATTTGATCGATTCAGCGGTTATTGAGAACCGATAATATACATTACTCGCAACTTAGCCTTTCGCGTAAAGATACACGGTGTGTCTTGCGCCTGAGTGATGATGACTCGACCTCAAGACACTACTGTCTGTGTCTCACTGTGTCTCTTGATATATATATATATATATATATATATATATATATATATATTGTATATATATAAGCATTAAAATGAATGAGAAATGAAGGTATATTCTAAACGCTATTCTAACGCTATTTTATACGTGATATGAACTGTATGTTTACTAACATGTGTGAGATGAACGCGATACCAAAGAAAAAAACCAAATTACGCGCCCAGATTATTGTAGGGCACATGACCCTGGTACGCCACGGAAGGCGGGAGCGCTCGCGAGACGAGAGGGTAGCGTGGCGTCAGTCGATACATACGAGGGAGAGCGCGCGCGGGAAGAAGCGAGCACGTGTGTCGAGGTAACGTGGCGTCGGTCCGGCCGCACAGTTTTAAGTGTATTTTTATCAAATAAAATAATGTTCTCATTAAGTCGGAGTACATGACTATTGCCGCACGACACCTTGCAAAATCAGAAGTGGGATTAGGACGCTAGCACACGTAAGGAAACGTAAGAAACTCGAAGAAGTTGCGTCAGCCATCTTCTGTTATTGGTTGAGTCGCCGCGTGAGAGACACGTGCTATCGTTACACACTTAGAAAATCCGAAAAACGGCCAACGAACGGAACGAAATCACAATGGATCCGAAGAAGTTTTCGGTAGCTCAATTTAAGGCCGAATTACGAAGACGAGACTTGCCGATGCATGGACGCAAGGCAGATCTCATTGCGCGTCTGGATAAAAACGACACGAGTGGCACGTGGATGAATTCCGTTGCTTGCGCCAAGTGCCCGATGACCGCCTCAGACGAGAATTTGTCGGATGAGGAAGTAGCGTTGACCGCAGACGAAGAAGAAAATAACGGTAACGAAGGAAGAACAATAGAAGGCTCAAGAGAGAACAGAAATCGTGATCGCCGAAATAGCAATGAATTAGAGCGCCGTTATCGCGACATGCAACTCGAATTTGAGCGTCGTGAAAACGAACTTCTGAGAAGAGAGTTAGAGATCGCTAGACGGGAGAACGAACAACTACGAAGAGCCACCTGTAGCCGAGGGGGCACGCAGAACAGAGAACATTACCGCTATGTTGGAACTAGTGGTAGATTCTTCGACGGAAGTGCAGGTACGTTTAGAAAATGGGAGCAACAAGTCCGTCAATTGTGTACAACTTATCGTCTCGATGATGACCGTGCTAAACTACTCGTTAGCAACAAAATAAAAGGAAAAGCGAAGAGCTGGTTTCAGACAGAAAACACGATCGCCATGACTCTTGATGAAATAATGAACGACTTCCAGAAAATGTATAGATGACATGTATAAATATGATCATCGTCCGTTACGTGTAGCTATGAGGAAGAAATTCGAGGCAAGAGAGTGGAAACCATCCGAGAATTTCGCAGATTATTTTCACGATAAAATAATCTTGGCGAAAGACGTTCCTATCGACGAAGAGGAAATGGTCGATTATTTAATTGATGGCATTCCGAGTGACCATCTGCAAGACTTAGCACGAATGAAGGAGTTCCAGAAGAAGGAAGATATGTTACGAACCTTCGAGAAGGTATCCTTGCAAACACCTGTGAAAAATAATACGAAACGAGATTCACGACCGACGGGCAAGCACGACGCAAAATCAGTTGATTCACAAAAGGATAATGAGAAAAAGGAGAAAATCAAGCGAAAAACGACGAAGGAAAAATGAAAAATCCTCATTGTTATAACTGTAACAAACTAGGGCACATCGCTTCTGACTGTCGTCAACCTAAGCGCGAGAAGGGCTCGTGTTTCAAGTGTGGTGAGATGGGCCACATATCCAAGGACTGTCCAACGAAGACTACGTCATCAACGGAGGTTGTCAACAAGAAGGAAAATTAAGTCTACTCCATCTTCGGCTGCGAGGAGGACGAAGAGACATTTTTTAAGGACGTCAACTACGAAATAAACTGTACAAGTCCTCCCGATACAAATCATAAGATTAGATTAAACACGCTAATGGACTCAGGTAGTAAAGTCAGTTTTATAAAAAAAAGTTTCGTGTTGAAAGAAGCAGTAGAATCTTTCGGTACACACCTGGGAAATTATCACGGTATAAACCACTCACCGTTACAGATTATGGGGTATATACGGCTGAATATCACTATCGATAACAAAACAAAGAATAATATAACAACACTGGTCGTTCCGGATACGACTATGGTATATCCGATAGTGTTAGGTCGCGACGTATTGAAGAAATTTGGTCTGAGTCTGAGGAAACTGGAAATTCAAGTGATAGATGAACTGTTGAACGTAGATGTAGATAATCCGCGCGACACGGCATTAGATTCTCTTGGTATCAATCCCGAAATATCTCGTGAAGCACAGGTTAGTTTGCGAGAACTCTTTAGGTCGAAATACGTTGAGCCCGCAAGGTCTATTAGCCCAAAAGTCGACATGGAGTTAAAATTAAGCCTGACGAATGAAACCTCATTCCACTTTAACCCGCGTCAAGTCTCCGTTTTTGAAAAGGAAAAGTTGAGGAAAATATTAGACGACCTCCTGGAGAGGAAAATCATTCAGCCTAGTAAATCCGAATATGTTTCCCCTATTATTCTAGTAAAGAAAAAGAATGGTGAACTCCGACTTTGTGTCGATTACCGTGTGTTAAACAAAGCGATAATTATCCTCGCGATAATTATCCTCTTCCGTTAATAGAGGACCAAACTGACGTACTTAGAGATAAAAAGTATTTCAGTATTCTTGACCTGAAAGACGTTCTTTCATATTCGAATCGCGGATGAATCGATAAAATATACTGCATTTACGACATACGGGATTTTCGAATACAGAAGAATGCCTTTCGGACTCAAAGTAGGACCGTCGAGATTTGAGAGATTTGTAAACGAAGCGTTAGTAGAATTGATTAGATCCGGACACATTGTCGTATATATGGACGATGTATTGGTCGCAACCGCTACTTTAGAGCATAACTTTAAGGTCTTAAAGCAGTTGTTCAAGTGCTTGGTTGACAACCTGTTGGAGCTCCGACTCGATAAATGTCAGTTTTTATGCACAGAGATAGAGTTCTTAGGTTATTGTATCTCTAAGATCGGAATTCAGCCGAACAAGTCAGCGATCGAGACAATCGAGAGATATCCAATTCCACAAAATTTGAAAAGTCTGCAATGTTTCCTCGGGATGGCTTCATATTTCCGAAAATTTATTGAAGGTTTCTCCGTTATCGCAAAACCACTTCATGAATTACTCAGTAAAAACGTGGAATTTAAGTTTGGGAAAGAACAAAAGCGTTTCAGATACTTAAACAAAAGCTGCAGGAAGCACCTATACTTAGTAGGTACAGTCCTCATGATGAGATGGAACTTCATATGCTAGTTCGCATGGTTTTGGCGCCGCTCTTATGCAAAAGAAAACAAATAAGTTTCACCCGGTCTCGTATTTTTCAAAACGGGCGACCAATACTGAAAGCCGCTATCATAGTTTCGAATTAGAAACGCTCGCAGTTATCTATGCACTTCGTCGATTTCGCATCTACTTGCATGGCATTAAATTTAAGATCATCACGGATTGCGCGTCGTTGAAAATGACTTTAGATAAGAAGGATGTGTGTCCGCGAATAGAAAGGTGGGCTGTCGAGCTTATGGAATATGATTATACTTTGGAACACAGAGCCGGCATCAAAATGCAACACGTAGATGCTCTCAGCCACAAACATTCTGGTTATTGAGGATAACCCACTCGAGTTAGAACTAGCGTTAAGTCAAAATCGCAATCCCAAAATCCGAGGGAACTGCGAAGGAAACTTGAGAAATCTCAAGATAGACAATACGAGATGCGAAATGGACTCGTGTACCGAAAGAGAGATAGCGAGTTACGGTCCTATGTACCGGAAAAAATGGAAGGTCCTGTATTGCAAAAGTATCATGACGAAATGGGACATTTCGGTCCAGAAAAAACGTGCGGTGCGATAGATAAGACCTATTGGTTTCCGCAAATGCGTATTAAGGTTAGGAATCATGTTCGAAATTGTTTAAAATGTATTGTGTTTACTCCATCTACAGGCAAGTCTGAAGGGTTTCTGCATAGTATACCTAAAGGTAATATACCGTTTCAGACATTCCACATCGACCATATGGGACCTATAGATCGAAAATACTTGATCAAAAAACACATTCTAGTGATCGTCGATGCATTCACGCAGTACATTAAATTGTATGCTACTAAGACTATAACTTCAAGGGAATCCATCGATTGTCTAAGGCAGCATTTCGCTAACTATAGCCGCTCTCATACTATAGTGAGCGATAGAGGGACCTGTTTCACCTCAAATGAGTTTGAAGAATTTCTCAAGGAAAATAACATTCGACACGTGCTGATAGCTACGGGATCTCCGAAAGCGAATGGGCAGGTAGAACGAATTAACCGTGTATTAGGTCCGTTTCTTGCCAAAATAGTTGATAGTAATGCCGGAAGGTATTGGTATAAGGCGCGCTAGCGGAACCAGAATTCGCGATCAACAACACGATAAATAAATCCACGAGAGATACACCAAGTCGTTTATTGTTTGGAGTTGATCAGCGAGGCCCGAGTGTTGATGGAATCAAGAAGTACTTAGAGGAAAAGGCTACACCAAAAACCCGTGACCTCGAAGTGATACGCCAAAGGGCCGCTAAGACCATTTCAAAGAATCAAGAGTACAATCAGCGTTACTTTGACAAGAGCAGAAAAGAGCCACGTCAGTACAAGGAAGGTGATTACGTGGAGATCCGAAATTTTGATAATACTCCAGGGGCGCCGAAGAAACTCATCCCCGAATTCAAAGAACTTTACTGAAGTATATAAGGTTCTCAGAAACGATAGATACATAATTAGAGATGTAGAAAATTCCCAAACATCACGTCGCCCTTACGAAGGAACATGGGAAGCTTGCAACATTAGACCCTGGCATGACGAAATCGCCTGATTATACCTAAAGCACTTATCAGAGACCAAAGATTAGTTGATAAGCAGTAGTTAAGATTGTTTTGTACTTATTCATTATACTCTATTATCTTGTTTGTACTACCATGTCCGAGGCTGGACAAATGATTAGGAAAGGTCGAATTGTGAGATGAACGCGATACCAAAGAAAAAAATCAAATTACGCGCCCAGATTATTGTAGCGCACATGACCCTGGTACGCCACGGAAGGCGTGGGCGCTGGCGAGACGAGAGGATAGCGTGGCGTTAATCGACACACACGAGGGAGAGCGCGCGCGGGAAGAAGCGAGTACGTGTGTCGAGGTAGCGTGGCGTCGGTCCAGTCGCACAGTTTTAAGTGTATCTTTACCAAATAAAATAATGTTCTCATTAAGTCCGAGTACATGACTATTGCCGCATGACACCTTACACATGTTATTTTCAAGATTGATCTGTTCCTTGAATAAGAAATGTATTAAAAACATACAAACACTGAACACAAGTCAAATTTCATCAAATATTTGAAATTTTGATAATGTAGCAAATTGAATCTAACATTCGAACAAAATGCTGAAAACAATTATGTTAATATTTTTATAACACAACTTTCTGAATAAAATGTTAATTTTTTATTATTTGTTGTTTATTCGTTCCTTACACATTCAAATAAACATATTTTCCGAGATATTCATTATAAAAAATATTTTAAAGACAAAACACAGATAATACTATACGTTTTTAAGATAGATAATTTCATAGCTTAGATAATAATATAATATTTTATATAATTTAAATAATTTTATAGCAATATTATAAAATTAATTACACAATAATTTTATAATGTCAGAAAGAAATTTAGCTTATAAATTTTACACTTTCCATATATCAAAATGGTCGAAACATGCTATTATGATACAAACGTAAATGTCTTTATTTCTATTAACTGTAATGTATGCAAAAGATAAAAATAAGATTTACAATAAAATGAGTTAGTCGATTTGAAAATTTAAAAAAAAGAAGAAGAAAATTAAAGAAAAATAAAAAAAATGTCTTCTATGAAATAAAAGAGTTGCCTATTACTCCACACAATTTTGTATGCACATTTAAAGAAAGAAAGATAAATATTTTATTATATATTTAATAGCTTATCCTACTAGTTAAATTGGCCAGGTTTCATATCAGATTTAGACCACTAAAAGTATTCAATCGCGAACTGATCGCTTCAAGAGACTACCATGAACTGATGGCTCTGTTGGCGTACCTAACAATATATAGATGGTTACCTACCTAGTGTTATATAAATACCATCTTGATTATACGTAGCATAGCTTATCTTACATATCGACAGAAGTCAA